GAACGTTATTTCTTAAAACATTGCTCTCTAAAAAAAAAAATACTAGGAAGTGAAGACAGCCTCTACAAATACAAAATGACAACTATTTGGATAAAATTCAGAATCTAAATATTTTTATAAAGAATTAGAAGAGAAACCTGATAATGTATTACATGAGCAAGCTATGTGTTGGGCTGGGAATGGCGCTAAGCTGAAGAGACAGGTTTCCATATCAGAACCAGCATAGTGTGGTTCTTCTGTGTGAATAAACAGGCAGGCCAATGGGCCTAAACTAAACATTCAGAAATTAACCCAAACATACATACAAAATGAGTATATTATAAAGTAACATCTCAAATCAATGGGGAAAAGATGGTCTTTTCAATAAATGATGTTTGGGCAACTGGGGCATCACTGGAAAAAAAATCCATCACACCCGTATCTCACATTTTATATCTGCATACGCTCCAAATATATCTCAGACCTAAACTTAAAAATAAAATCACACAATTATTAAAAGGAAGAAAGCCTGAGTGAATTCCATTATAAACTGAGAGAAGGCATATGCAGAAAAATTTTTAAATTGATCAATGAGTCATATAAACTTACTTAGAAATGAAATATTTTGCATGGCGAAAAAATGCAATCAGCCAAAAAGCAAATGATATACTTGAAAAAAGTACATTTGCAACTTATCACAAAGAGATAATGTGCCTCATGTCTTATGCGGCTAAAAAAAAAAAATGTGAAAGAAAAATACCAACATCCCCAATGAAAAATAGGCAAAAAGTTATGAACTGGGGAATTCCAGAAAAATAAGAGAAAATGGCCCCAAACACAGCAACAGATGCTCAATGTTACTCATACTAAAAGACATGCATTCATTTTTCACCGATCAGATTGGCGAAAGTCCAGCAGTTTGACAACATGCTCTGCTTGTGAGGCTGGAGGGGAACAGCACCTTTGTATACTGCTGGTAAGAAGGCAAGAATAGAACAACCCCCTAAAGAAGGGAACTTGGCAGTTTCTGGCAGAGATGTGGATGTTAAACATCAGCAGAGGTAAAAGGGTAAGTCGTGAATTAAAAACGGACTCTTCGATAAATTCCAAAGAGCAAATGTAGAAAGGATGGAAACAGAAAATCGTTGGCAAAAGCTGGAGCAAGAACTGCAGCTAGGACCTCCCTGGTGGCGCAGCGGTTGGGCGCTGTGTTGAGAAGCTGCCCGCAGCCTCTGCAGCGCCGGTTCGATCCCCGGCCGCCGGCGAGGGTCCCACATGGTGCAGCAGACCTGTCCTGTAGCACCTGCTGCTCCCCTCAGCAGTGTATTTCGTCAGTCTGCCTGTTCTGTTCTCCGCTCTGGTGAATTCTCTCACCCTCCGGTACCTCTGACTGTACCCAGTGCTTGTATAAATAAATAAATAAATAAATAAATATTTTTTAAAAAGAACTGAAGCTAAAATATCAAAAGCAGAAACGTGGCAAATAGCACCTTCAGGTGAGACGTTCACATTTAGGGGACCTGGATGAAAAGTCTCCAGGAATTTTTTATATACTTTTTTGTGACTATAAGTCTAGATATCTTTTTTTTTAAGATGAAATTGTTTGAGAAAAATTTTGAAAAATGGGCCTCCCTGGTGGCGCAGCGGTTGAGCGCTGGGTTGTGAAGTTGCCCGCAGCCTCTGCAGCACCGGTTCGATCCCCGGCTGCTCCCCGGCCACCGGAGGAGGGTCCCACATGGCGCACAGACCCCTCCTGCCACCCCCTGCTCCCCTCAGCAGTGTACTTCGGCCCTTCTGCCTGCTCTGCTCCCCGCTCTGGCTCTGGTGAATTCTCTCACCCTCCCATGCTTCTGACTGTACCCAGTGCATGTATAAATAAATGGATAAATTTAAAAAAAAAAAAATTTTTTTGAAAAAGAACATTTCTTGAAAAGTGCATTCTTAACCGATACAATCAGATATCCACATACAAAAAAAAAATTGAAATTAGAGCCTTCAGCCATACACAAAAACTTCTGGTAGGCTAAGTGAAACTGAAAAGCAAAACACTGAAATTTTTACAAGAGAGAAAGGAGAAAAAAATTAAATTTTTAATTTTTTTTATGACCTAGAGTTTGCCTACATTAAAAAAAATCATACAACAAAAGAATAACATAAAGTAAAAAGGCAAGTCATTATTGCAGATGCATAAAACTGACACAGGATTACTCTACAGAACATAACGAATTTCTATTTATCAAAAAAAGAATGACAAAAGAACCCAACAGAAAAACAAAGGATCTGATCGGGGAACTGACAGAAGGGAAAGCCCAGATGAGCACCAAATAGGCAGTGATGTTCAACTCATGAGTCAGGAAAATGCAGATTAAAAGGGAGGAAATAGCTTTTCCCCATCATCAAATGGAGAAAAAAATGTATTATCTGTATTGAAGGAGATGGGAGGCTCTGGGGGTGCCACACAGCGCCCATCAGAGGACTGGAGAGGGGGAGCCTTCATCCAGGACAACTGGGGATCCCTAACAGTCCACCTGTTAGGGATCACCCTGAAGAAGGCCTCCAGTGTTCATAAGTGGAAGACACAGATGGGACACGTCCAAGAGTGTACACCGCAGGACCTGAGATAGGAGTCAAAAACCGTCAATGACCTAGAAACTCAACAAATGGAGCATAATAATGGTATTTTCACAAATGGGATAATACCAGCAATGAGAATAGTGAACCAGAGCTACAGGCATCAAAATGTCAAAATGACTAAATCTCAGAGGATGAAGGTCAAAAGCAAATGATGGCAGCACAATAGTTTTTATCATTATGATGAACACTTTATCAAGAACATGTAAAAATACTGCATATGGGTGGATACATGTTTCTGGGACATGAAGAGAGAGAGTAGTAAACACTAAATTCAGGATTATAGCTGAACCCTAGGAAGGAATATGAGGAATGATGAGGACAGGTAAATACAACAGGGTCTGCACACACTGCAAAGTATATTAAGATGTGATAAATCTAGGTGTGGGTATGCATGTCCTATGTTGTTTTCTATCGGCTTTGCAATAAATGGACCATATATAATTTCCAAAAGAATATGCATCATCAACATATGGGTTTTTATTGCTGAATGAGTGTTTTGCTGGATTTTGCTTAACTTGGGTTTTTGCATTTTTCACTGCTATTTTCATTTGTTTATTATAAATTATTTTATTGTTCTCTCTTAATTTTGCATATTTTATATAAAATTGATATTAAAATGTGCAGGCTATCTATCTTTAGGTCCTATGTTCCCTAAAAATACTCAATTATTCCTCCCCCCATTATTCATACATTCACTTGCTTCCTTAAGGATTTCTATCAGAAAAATTTTAACCAAATCCCTTTGGAGTATGCTCGGCTGAGAATATATTTAGGATATGAAGATGTTCCAAAGAGCTTTTATTTTTTAAAAAACAGATCATTTATGATGTCTTTAATGAAGATTAAATAAGCAAATAGAATTGCATTTTTCATAATAAATGTCAGGTTATACATTGCTGTGCAATTTATACGTTGAAAAGTGATCGATAATTGTGACATACCCCATGATAAAAATCCAAAACACAGTTTCAGGTGTGTATATAAGAGGCAGCAGTTTCCCATATCACAATAAAGTATTATGTGCTACAAGGCTGGATTTCACAGGAGCAAATGCAATAACGCGCCACCTGGAATGTTGAGAGTTCCACTGGTTAATAATGTTAACAGTGAGGCCAGAGATCTAAATCCATTTCTCCTACATATTAATTTCACCGGATGAGGAGCTGGAAGAGAGAGGGCTCCGTTCCGTGGTTCCCTAACCTGGCTTACTGTCCTTTCAAGTTGAGTCACTAGGTAAGAGTTCAATGTCAATCCACCATAGCTGTCAAGAAACAGACCCACAGTACAGGTGTGGAGTGTGGGCAGGACCACGGGGGTAGGAGGCTGGAACATCACTTTTCATTTAGTGCTGAAGTCACCGGGGTGCCCCCAATGATCTGGGGGGCCACATAGGAATGTTTCAAAGACTCCTGCCAAAAAGACAGCTTTTATTTCAAGATTAACTTTGAAATGACAGGCTATCATCCAAAGCCAGAGTTTCCGTTTTGGTTTACTGAATAAAGATAAGCAATTTTAAATGGCAAATGAGTCCCTTGACTGTCAAATTTCTAAAAAGTGTTCTCCTGGCTCTAGAGTGGGGGGGAAATAACTTACTGGTGGGCACAGAAAGTGAATGACAAGTTTCAGCCCCAGGCAAATTTTCAGTCAAACAGAGTCCTTAAAAAAATTAAAAAATGCCAAGGAGGTGGTAAATGGTACTGGCAACAGCTTACACAAAAGCCACACTGTTTCTTTATTCTTTTTTTAAAGATTTATTTATTTATTTATACAAGAACTGGGGTACAGGCCAGATGCGCGGGAGGGTGAAAGGATTCACCAGAGACAGAGCGAGGAACAGAACAGGCCGAATGACCAAAATACACTGCTGAGGGGAGCAGCGGACAAGACAGGAGAGGTCTGCCCCACCATGTGGGACCCTCGCCGGCTGGCCGGGATCGAACCCGCACTGCAGAGGCTGCGGACAGCTCCACAGCACCGCACTCAACCGCCTGCGCCACCAGGGGAGGCCCTGTTTCTTATTTTTACATGTGAACACTGGAAATAAGAGGGAAGGAATGATGCCCTCTGAAAACACTTCCTTATATCAACTTTCATCTGACTCAGGAAATGTGTCCATTTTAGTTCCTCAAACAACAAATTTTTCTGAGCACAATAGCTCATTTCTTTATACTACAGCTAGTTGGCTGTCCCTGATCAGTTGAAATCCCTGCTCAGCTCAAGATCTGGGACTGAAACCAAAAGGAATAAATCAATGAAGGCCTGGATTTCTACCCGTCTGTGCAGGCCAGCGCGCCTCTGAACTGAGGGGCGGCCAGAAGCAGTGGGGGTGCCAGAAGCTCCCAAAAGCACGGGTCTGTGATCTAAAATTACATCACAGAGGAAGGCGATGCCCCAAGGCATCCTGGGAAATCTCATTGACACTTCCTTTCCTGTGGGGACCCTGTGACATAGGTTCTGCAGAGTTCTGCCTTCTCCCACTTCCTCAAAACCAACTCTACTCCAAGAAAGTGAGTTCAGACATACTCCTGTGGGAGCGTTTCTCCATAACCAAAACCCAGAGATAAAGAAGGCAACGTCACTTCATCACACAGAAACTGGGGGCAGAGGGAGATGTTGGCCTGAAAAATACTTATTCCAACAGGAAAGTTACATTCTGTTATTATTCCAAGAAGAGAATATTGGCAGGCATCTCAAGATTTTGTGCTTTCTGCTGCTACTAAAATGAAATAGATTTCAGTTCTAATCCCATAATATGAAACAAACCAAAAGCAGACAGACTGGCAATGCTAACTCTAGATACACAGTGACACGCGTCATCAGTTTAAAGAGGTCAAAAAAGCAGCCGGGCTTCTTTTTTCATAAAGTATATGAAGAGATGAACAACAGACTTTTTTTTTGTTTAATCCTGATCTAGTGAGAAGGCATAAAGGAGCCCACCTAAGCAGAAGACTTCAAAAGCTAGATAAGGGAGGACAAAGAGGCTTAAATGGAAAACTCCTCAACAAGCCAAGAATATAATAAGGCAAAACTCAACTTCAATTTATGCAAGAATACTGGCGCTTTGGCACTCAAAAAAGACGTCGCAACACCTCTCTGTACACAAAGAAAATATGAAATCCTGAAATCCGTGCAGCGTACAGTCACGGAGCCACTGCCAGGTAAGGCTAATCCCCAAATACAATTTCTTAAGAAATCACATTCTCCACATTATCCTGGGTTTTTTTGGTTTGTTTTTGTTTTCTGGTTTTTTTAATTTTGTTTTGTCTTTTTTTCATTGTTAAATATTAGCATACCAAAGAAAGGAATCTTGAAAAACAATCTTCATTCATTCAAGGGGCTGAATCAAGTCCTCTTGAGCCCCAGGGGCCCCGCAAAATAAAGGGCTTGGAATTATGGGTTTTTAATGAAGCAGTAGCCCAACTAAGTAGTCGGGGGAAAGTAAATGAAAGGTGCTGAAATCTGACCTGGTGGACAAGAAGAAATCAACATAAATCCAGGGAGGATACACGCAGTTTTAAGGATTCTGAACCCCTTTACCTTCAACACAACCTTCCCCAGGGAATGCTTCCATATGCTTTAAAAAAAAAAAAAAAAGCCACTTTGCCTGCTCCCAGATATATAGCATTAGGGTAGGGATAAATTTCAAGCTGGCGAAAGTCCAAATCCAACAGTTGCAGCTGTAGTAGCTGCCTTGTTTACAAAGCAATTCAGGAAGCTTTTAGAGGGCAGAGTGCACCAGACAGAAGGGGGTCTGTAAGCAAAACATGGATGGATCCCAGTGCATTCAGAGCAGACAACACATCTGTTCCCAGGTCCCCCCTTGGACACATGCCGAATACGAATCTGAGTCAACCCTTAATGCTCATGTATTTTCAGGAAAGCATGTCTACTTACATCCTCAAATCAAAATTATATGCTGGTAGTGGTTGGGAACTGGGGCTGTCCTGCTTGTTGGAACCAAAACGCCAGAAACAAGCTGTCAAGCAGGCTTCTGAGCAGGATCCAATCACGACCTGGCCCACTTGACACAGGATCAGCACCATGCAGAAGCAAGCCTTCTATCACCATTTTATGCCTGTATAAACTATGCTTCTTAGCTCCTCCTCGATAAGTACCACCCGGCGCAATTATCTGAGGCAAGGATAGGTCCCAGAAATCAACCTCGGCTACCCTTGTTCGCTCCTGCTATCCAGGTGATTTCAATCATCAAACTTGCTTCTGTTCTCCTTCCCTCCTTCAATTGCTGCCCCCTGGCCCTCTTTGTTTTCTGGGCACAGTTGAAATTCAGAACTCCTTTCTAAGAAAAAAGACACACACACACATTCAGGAAGTAGTGACGGGGAAGAGAAGCAGCACGGGGAAAGAACAAGAGAATAAATGTCAAAAAAGAAAAACCAGAGTAAGTGCCTTATGCCTGTTTACAGAGCTTACAAAATGTGCAGTGAGGATGCCAAGGGGAGACTATGATGGACACAGATGGGAGTAAGCAAAACAGAAAGGCGGTCTCAGGTGTTTGCAATGGGGGCCATTTAGCTGGGAGGGAAAGGAACTAAACATAGAAAAGATGGGAGAGAAAAAGGATATTTAAAAGATGAGTTTAATTCATTAATATAAATTCTGTGCATTCCCAGAAGGGCTGGTATATACCCGGTGTGCACACACTCAAGACCAGATCATGACGTCACACCAAACCTTTCATGGATTCTTGGAGTACAATGTCTGATAGAACCCCAGATCAAAGACAAGCGTAACCCAGTTGTTCCCGTGATCATAAAAATGCTTCTGCACGCAAATGAAAAAGCACACAGGCTGACAGCAAATCACTGCAGGTTAACAGTGAGAGTAAATGTGAAGCATAAAACCCCAACTAAGACTTTGTGCAGGAAGCACCCACACGCTCAATCTGCAGAGCACCCCGTTCTGGCGCACCACTCACTACGGAATTACACATATTAATTACACGTTTAATCGCATATATTAATAACACCTAGTCTACAATTGCAATGTATTCATGTAAACCTAATCAAGGAAAACTAGAGTATTTGCATAAAACTTGTAATGAACAATATAATGACTGCACTAACAAGACAGGGATAGGAATGCGTATCTGTGACAAACTGTTTGTGTCAAGAAGAATAGAAAGTGATTCTCTTTCCTGAACATTATTTCAGGCCCATTTAACACAATCTGTGCCACTCAATGAATGTGGAGTGTCCTACACACATCACATCAAATCAGATTTGGATAATGTTTCCGACTTCAAATAAAATTTCATTACTATGTTTAGTTGTGGAATGATAGGAAAAGCCTACATTTTTAAACTTCATAAAAATCGGAATATGACAAGAATTAGGCAAGCCTCACTCCAATCTGCCGCAAAACAAGTCTACCCGCTGGTCACCCCAAATCACAAAATTGTGGGATACCATGTGGTCAGAGAAAGTGAAAATTCTATTTCAGAAGAGTTTCAAAGCAAAGTTAGTATCTGTCACTTGTTGCCTCTCATATACTCCCATTGGCAAACTGGAACCTAGAAGTTGCGAGAGCTTCATTTCTTCAAGTAAGACCTGAGTTTGCAGAAAAAGAAACAAAACAAGACAAATACAAAGTCAATTAAAGCATAGCAAATACTCTGAATTCAAATAACACTGCAAGACAGCAAGTCTCTTCATTCTAATTGCTGTTCATTTTTTATGAAACACTTCTTATCAGGTTAAAACCTAAAAATCTGACAAACCCCCAAACAAAAGACCGCAAGATTTTTTTTAATGTAAAGCTTGAAAACAGTCTAGTATCAGAGGCTTTTGAGGGGCTCATAACTTAATCAAATTGATGCAAAGGAAGGAGATATACACCTATGTGAAACAAACTAAAGCAATTAAAATTAATACTAAATTTACTTTCATAAACATCTTTATGAAGTAATCTTTTATTTTTTTCTATATTGTACAAAATCAGCTTTGCAAAAGTGATTCACCACTGCATGTGAGTAAGAGCAATGCCACCTTCCAAAAGGTATCCAGGTGCAGTGAGATGGTCGGTTGTGAGAGCCCCTGCTGGGCTGTCTTTTCTCAGCAACAGGAGCAGCACAGTGTCCTGGCTGAAATTAGTCTTGCACTAGGTCTGTCACTTAGGGCAATCCGGTTGCCAGTGAGTAAAGGCCCGACTTCCACGACACCACTTACCACTCACCCATGCTGGGCCAATTCAAAACCATGCGTCTTATAGCCAGCAGTCAAGAGCCTTCACCCGTGAAGAATAGCTAATTGGTAGCCACGCGCCATAATGGAAGAGCATGATATTTTCCACCAAAAATGATACCATTTATCTCCTCCAAAATTTTATGCACAACTCAATTACTGCTCATCTCTCACCATCACTCCTAACCCAGTACAAGCGATCCTCTGAAATATACATTCTCACAGAACTTTCACTGTGTTTACATGTAAGACATGAAAACTACCATATCATTCAGCCATTAAATTAGTCACCTGAAGTTTACTTGATAAAAACCTAAAGAAATGCCTATTTGTTTACATCCATGGGAGGGGGTTAAGGATACAAACATCCGAGAGAAAGGGTGCACATGGAAACATTTCTACACATTTAAGATTTTAAAATGTTTGCTTAAAAGCATTATTACTTGACAGTAAAATTACTTTTTTTTCTTTCAACAAATACTTATGAGATTATAACTCTGTGGACAACAAAACAAAAGACAGATCTAGCATTCTCGGCCCAACTTTACTCAGTTTTCTTTGGGTTTCCTCCTTTTGCAGAACCCATTGAATGTTAAGAGTAATCTAAAATAGTGATCAATGGCGCGGCAGACCTCTCCTGTCTCGCCCGCTGCTTCTCTCAGCAATGTTTCGGTCAGTCTGCCTGTTCTGCTCCCCACTCTGTCTCTGATGAGTCCTCTCACCCTCCCGCACACCTGGCCTGTACCCCTGGTTCTTGTATAAATAAATAATTCTTTAAAAAAAATTTTTTTAAAATAGTGAGCAAATCACAACTCCTAACACCTATGAGAACCTATAGAGTTCTCACTATATGCCAGGCACTGTTCAGGCACTTGTAAAATAACTTATCTCATTCTTGAAATAGCTGCATGAAGATAGTGTGTCTCCATTCTCCAGACAGGGAAACTGCAGTCCCATAAGACTCTGTAACTTGAACAAGGTCACACCATTTAGGTCACACCATTTACAGCTGTTAAATGGTAGAGAGAGGATTGGATCCCAGGGAGTCTGGCTCCAGAATTCAGTTCTTAAGCACATAACTAAAATTAATCTCAAGCTAATATATACAATCAGTCTCACGATATCACACTCGGGAATTCTTTATGTAAATAACACACACACACACACATGCACACAGCATCTCATTTTCAATTCATTAAGTAGTGCTGTATTAAAATGAAGTCCTCTTCTAGAACTATTTGCTTGTTTTTTTGTGACCAGAATTATATTTAACCTGATAGACTTTTATTTTCATGAAAGTATATGATTAGGGAATTGAAAAAGAAAACACTCAGCACGTCTTCAATGTAAAGAAGATGTAAAGAGGGACCTCTCAGGATATTTAATCATGCAATATTTGTATTAGTTCAGGGAATCCAATCCTACTTATCTTAATATTCATCATTTGAGCCCCCATAGTTTTAAAAAGGCAAAAATCATAGCATAAAAAGAAATCACGCCAACCATTTATAAAATTAATCTCTACCCAATTAACACTGGAGTCTACCACTAGCCATAGAATTATAGTATTTATAGGTCTCTTAAAGATTCTACACTGCATATACAAAGAAAGCAAACAGCAACATAAACTTGTAACCCTTATCCATGAAGCAGCCTTTCATGAACTCAATGAAAGTGACTGATAAAGACTTTTTCTAAAAAACAGGTTTTTTTTTAAGATTTTATTTTCATGTAGAAGAACTGGGGTGTAGGCCAGAGGTGTGGGAGTGGGGGTAAGATGATTCACTACAGACATAGTGGGGATCAAGGTAGGTGAAACAACTAAAATACACTGCTGAGGGGAGCAGTGGGCAAGACAGGAGAGGTCTGCTGTGCCATGTGGGTCAGCTCCCTGGCTGGAGATTGAAGTCAGGCCCTTGGGGTGGGCACGCGTGATTATAGCACTGAGACTTAACCCG